TCATATTTTTAATATGTGAGGAGAAAGAATGGTAAAAAACTATGGTTTTCGTTAGTATTTTAGTTGTGCTGTGATGAATAAGTAAAGAAATTCGTTATATTTTATTTGATTAATAAGTAAATCAATAATAAGGCAAGTTAGTAAATGAAAAGCTGGCTTAATTAGCTAATAACTAAGTCAAAAGCTTAAAATAACCAATTATTAGTTTATCAATCAATGAATAAATTAAATTTTTACGTTAAGTAAAGCTTCAAAGTTGTGATATTTTTGCACTAGGCTATTCCTGTGCCTAAATCTTTTGCACCCTCTGCACCAATATTATTACCACTTGAAATATAAATAAGGAATTAAATAAATATGGAGGAGAAATAATGGTAAAAAACTATTGTTTTCGTTAGTATTTTAGTTATGCTGTGATGAATAAGTAAAGAAATTCGTTATATTTTATTTGATTAATAAGTAAATCAATAAGAAGGCAAGTTAGTAAATGAAAAGCTGGCTTAATTAGCTAATAACTAAGTCAAAAGCTTAAAATAACCAATTATTAGTTTATCAATCAATGAATAAATTAAATTTTTACTCTAAGTAAAGCATCAAAGTTGTGATATTTTTGCACTAGGCTATTCCTGTGCCTAAATCTTTTGCACCCTCTGCACCAATATTATTTTATCTTGAAATATAAATAAGGAATTAAATAAATATGGAGGAGAAATAATGGTAAAAAACTATTGTTTTCGTTAGTATTTTAGTTGTGCTGTGATGAATAAGTAAAGAAATTCGTTATATTTTATTTGATTAATAAGTAAATCAATAAGAAGGCAAGTTAGTAAATGAACAGCTGGCTTAATTAGCTAATAACTAAGTCAAAAGCTTAAAATAATCAATTATTAGTTTATCAATCAATGAATAAATTAAATTTTTACTCTAAGTAAAGCATCAAAGTTGTGATATTGTTGCACTAGGCTATTCCTGTGCCTAAATCTTTTGCACCCTCTGCACCAATATTATTACCACTTGAAATATAAATAAGGAATTAAATAAATATGGAGGAGAAATAATGGTAAAAAACTA